TATATATATATATATTATATTTATAGAACTGCATAAAATAATCTAAAACTTGGAAGAGTTTCAAATACATTCGATATTACAAAATTCAGCTTCTATAAATTTACATGAGCCTCGTAAAAATTTCAAATATTGATAGGCAGGTGGAGGTCTTATTACATTACATAATGCCGCATTACTTGTCTTTTAAATTTTAAAATGTTAATTTACTTCTTATAAATGCCAATCAATCCAGTACCGAGATAGAATTGGCCCGTGAACAATTTTATTCTTTAGACTGTTTTACGCTTCTATTTTTACACTAGTTACCGCTTGAATTATATAGAGACATCGAATATGGCCCGAACTGATGAGTATGATAACCCTGACCCCGTCACACTATAGCGACATCTGTTAACTGTAAAATGACCGAGATTCATTTTACTGTCTAGTAACGCATTATGAAACATTCCTTTTTTCCTTTTTAACAGCCCTTTATAGTTAATTATAATGCTTCTTTGCTTTGTTAGATACTTTATTATCATCAATTAAAATGAATTTTCTTCCAAATGGAAAGATAATATTAATACTATATACTGTATATATTATTATTATTATTATTATTATTTAAACATAGACTATGTGATAAGAAGTATTTTATACAATTTTAAAAATGCATTCTTTTATAAGTAAAAAAAAAGGAGTTATTTGCAAGTATTATGACGCTGCATAATTTTAATATACTTGTATTTAATTAAATGCATCTGTAATAATAAAAAGTGGTATGTCTAGCATCTGTCTGATTTTGTTTGAACATATTTTCTCGAATATATATTTACTGTATCTTTTTTAAAATATTTTATATGAAGTAAGATAACCAAAAATGGCCACTCAGAATGAAGAACGATGGAATGTAAGTTCACTTTAAATATGAAGCTCTTTTCCTTTTATTTTGTTTTTATTATAAATAATAAATCTTTGTTCCCATACTAATGTCAGTATAATGTATATGTTAAAGAAAAAACACATGAAATAGTTTTTATAATAATTTCAATATATTTTCTTTTAATTTATTAAATTACATATGACATTTTGAATAATTAAAAATTGCTAGGACGGAGACAAGGNTATAAAAAAATTAAATATAGTTTAAAAAGTCACTAAATATTTAAAGTTTGACTTTAATAAAAAGTGTTTATAAATTTATTGCATATAATTTACTGGTGAAAGTTAACAATTTATTTTTAAAATAAGATAAACAACCGATTATCAGTTAGATATGCTTCACAACTTCGTACTTCTCAATAATGATTTTAGGCTATATGTAATGCTATTATTTGAATGGAAAAAATTAATAATTTTGGGATTTTAAAACTTTGGCTTTTCGTATTTAAATTATACTGAATTTTAAAAAGGGAAGAAAATGAAATAAAAATATGAACTCGGAAGAGAAAGTAATTACCGTGTTCATTTCCAATAAATGTAACAATTGTTACTTCAAGATGAACATATACTGAAGAACTCTTTGGATATTCAAAATGATCTAACTTGTAAGTCAAAAAATTGGACACTCACCAGTGACCAGTGAGTGAAGAAAACTACTGAACACTATTTGAGGGTTTGCGCCTCACTAACTAACTGGCCACGTGGAATTTTCCGAGCTTTCTTTACGCATCTAACACTTAAGTAGGCCCAATTTCGCATAGAAAGTCCTTCTGGGGGTATTTCCCTTAGCAAATCGCCCACATGTTGCGTTGCCATATCCCATGAAAGACTGATTCAGTTTCAGTTGCATTTCTAATAAATAAATAAAAAGATATATAACTTATATATCTTTTTATTTATTTATTAGAAATGCAACTGAAACTGAATCAGTCTTTCAGTAAATTAGTTGTTAAATGATTCAACAATATATATATATATATATTGTTGAAGCATTTAACAACTAATTTACTTGAAAATCTTTATTAATTAATTAGTACGTATGGAAATAATACTTGAACTGTCCACCAAGAGTTTTATTTCAGTGTGATCTGTTTATTTAATTTTTAGGATCAGCTTTCTGGTACTGAAATATAGATATCCATTAAATATATCTAAGGTAGCCACATGGTGATGAAACAATAATA